CTAATGTACAGCGCCTAAAGGGTTACAGCTGATCAGTGACAGTCAGGATTTGAACACAAGCCTGGGAAGAAAAGGGACACTCCAAAACACATCCACCTATGCAGTCAGGGGTGAGCAGAACCCTCGGCTTCTGTCCTGGTCTTGGCCCTCCAAATGTGTTCTCTCTTCTCAAACACTGCAGAGCAAGACCTGCACCCACCATGTTTTGGTCCAGCCCTAAAACTGTTTCAGTGATGTGCTGCCTTTTGACCTTGAACCCGTCTCTGCCCTCTGGTCCTCAGCCTGCATTAGCACCTTCTGTCCCATTTTCCCAAGTTGGATCTGGAACACTGTGTACTTGAGCAGGGAGCATAGAGCAGAAATGAGAAAATGGGAAAGGAACGAGAGAAGGTAAGTATGCCCCTGGCTCTGGAAGCCTGATGGCCAAAGGTTTTCCAGAATAAAAGCAAGACTGGACTTGTAACAGGAGGGTTCCCCAGGAAAAGGGGAGGTTCCAGGTACCCTGCCCCACTCAAGAGGAGGGCGGTGCTGAGTAGGGTGGAGAAGAATCTGGAGACTGAAGATGAAGGAAGCAGGATGGAGGCCAGAAGGAGACCAGAGGGAGACACAGGGAGCAGAGAGATGCAAAGAAGCGGCTCTTGTTTCTTGGCCCTGGACTGGGGGACACAGATGTGGATGAGAGACCCGTGGGGAGGTGACTGTGGCAGCGTTTATCTTGATTTAGATTTTGCTCTTTTCCTCCCAGACTTGTCTGGCCATTTCTGACCCTTTTCTATGGATCCTGCCAGAAGGTGCTTTAGGTTGGTGGTGGGCTTCAGGCCTTGCTTTAGGCCAGTCCCTTTTGTGTGGACTTTTACCCATGAGGGGATAGGTCACTTTGGGGGTTTGATTTAGAAACTGTCTTGTCTGTATTTCACACTCATTGTATTAAAGTTCCTTTCCATGAAAGGTCTTATATATTTTATCTTGATGTGGTGGATGGCAGAACCTATTTACAGAAGGCAGGTTTGGGGGTTCAGGGGTGCCCTCTCCCTGCCCTATAACAGACTCTCCAAGGCACCTGGGCCTTGAGTCAATATTCTGGGGTGTTTTCTGCATCTTTATGCAAGCATGAATCTCTGAAAAGTCTTACCATGGCTTGAAATGGTATGGTTTGCAAAATTTGCCCAGATTTGGCTAGTTGCTGTGTTTGTGTGGGGTGTGGGGACAGAAGATGGTGGCTCTAGGAATACTGCTAAACCATTCTGGTAAAAACTCCATACTGATTCCACAGCAGAGTTTGTTTCAAATAATGGTAAAGTTACCTCCAGTCCCCAACATAGGAGGACATCCCTTTAACTCTTCACCAACAGTTAGTGCAATTGCAACTGATGTCAATTTTCTTAAGTAAATCAAAAGTCTTTGCAAAAGAGGCCATCTGTTGGCAGGCAGACCTCTCCTGACCCGCCCGCCACTCCCCTCAGCAGTGAACTTCGTAGATCTGCCTGCTCTGCTCCCTGCTCTGTCTCTGGTGAATCCTCTCACCCTCCAAATCTCTGGCCTGTACCCCAGTTCTGTATGAATAAATATCTATATCTATATCTATATC